GACCGACTCCCACTCTCCTGCCGCGCGGCTACCCCGCGGCCCCGAGACCCCGTCCTACCTGAGCGGTCCTGAGGAAGCGGGGGGACGCCGGGGTCACGCCGCAGGTGTCTGGAGCGATGGGGCTGAGGGGGGGCGCGTGGCCACTTAATTACTGGGGTGGTGAGGGGAGCCGGACCAGACGGGCGCCCCCGGTGGAGCCCCGCGGGGCGGCAGCGCCCCGGCTCTGCTCCCGCTGGGGTCCCAGGCGCAGGGGAAGTCCCCGCCCGGGAGAGGCGCCCCCGCCCGGGAGAGGCGCCCCCGCCCGGAGCCGCCCGGAGCCGGTCGCACGTCGCCCTCTGGTGGCCGGAGGACGTCGTGGTCTTTGCCCTCGGTGCTGGGCGCCCGCAGACGCCCGGATTTGGCGGGAGAAGGTCGACCCGGTATTTCTGCACCTGTTTCTCAGAGATACTGGTTCGTCACTTTCTTTTTTTCCTTTTTTTTTTTTTTTGTAGTTTTCTCCTCTGTTTTTCTTATCAGGGCATTGCTGACTTCGTAAAATGTGTCCAGAAGTACCCCATGTTCCTCAATTAGTTGGCGAGAGTTTTGTGAAGCCAGACGGCATTCGTTCTTCTTTGAAAGTTTGTAGAATTCACTAGTCAGGCCGGCAGGTCCTGGAATGTTGTTACTTGGGAAACGGCTTCAGTTTCCGTAGTTGCCAGGGCTCTGTTCAAGTTCTCTAACTTTTTCTTGAATCAGTCCTGGGAGGTTTGTAATTCCAAATATGGATTCACTTCTAGATTATTACATTTATTGGCACAGTTTTTCATAGTAATCGCTTATGGTCCTTTTGTGGTTTTCTAGCCTTTTGGGGGTTCGCCTCTGTCCTCTTTCTTCTTTTGAGGTCTGGTGGCTTTTCTTTGTGGCGTCTTTAGCTACCTTTTCCCTTTTCTCTTGTGGATTTATTGTAAGATTTTGCCTTGTGGTCTCCATGAGATGCAGCTATAACATCCTATGTGTGTATTTTGTCTTGGTTGGTAATACTTTTATTTTTAAAAAAAGGTTTATTCTTATTTACACACACAAGAACTGGGGTGTAGGCCAGAGGTGCAGGGGTGAGAAGACTCACCAGGGACAGAGTGGGGAGCAGAACAGGCAGATCCACTGAAATCCACTGCAGAGGGGAGCATCCCCGAGACAGGAGAGGTCTGCTGTGCCATGTGGTTCAGTTCCCTGGCCGGGGATGGAACTCAGGCTGTAGAGGTGACAGTGCTGAGACTTAACCCCTAGCCACCAGGGAGGCCCCTCTGGGAAACTCTTATTAACCTTTCCTTCAATTCTGAATGTTAATCTTATCACAGTATCTAAAATTTCCATAGTATCCAATAATAGTGATAATAATCATAATCTTTCCCTGATTGTAATAAAGATGTATCCTTGTATAATTTATCCTTTAATAAATCCTTGTCAAACATTTTTTATTGAGATTTTGTAAATGGTTAATGGATGCTTGAAAGTGAGTATATATGTGTGTATGAATATAAATAGCTATTAAGTTAGCCTTATTGATTAAATTATTAAAAGCCTCTATGTTTTTTGTGCTTGTTATCTTGAAGACTGGTAATGACCATTTAAAATTACCCACTACCATAATGCTTCTGTGCGTTTTCCCTTGTGTTTCTAATAGAACAAATGATCAGAACACCTACCTGTTCATTATAAGTTCTCCACTTTGTTGGTATAAAGATACCCCTTTATCCAAAATCATGCTGTACCCCTTAAATTCTGTTTTCGCAATAGTTATTAAATTTGCTTGGTATCTACTTTGTTTTCATTTTAAATCTTTCTGGGTTTTACTTTCAGAGGGTTTTGGTGCATATTTCATGAAGTTGAATTTTGTTGCCTTACCCTGACAAGTTTCACACCGGCACATAATGTGGCCATAATTGGCTTTCCTTCCATCACTGTTTCATGCTGGTCTTTTAAAAATGATTCCCTGCATTTCCCTGTTTTTTGACATCACCAAATGGATTATATTTTCTCTTTTAAAATATTTCACTGGGGCCTCCTTGGTGGCACAAAGGGTTAGGTCTCAGCACTATCAGTCTCTCATTGCAGTAGGAGTTCACCAGGGAGCTGACCCACATGGCATAGCGGATCTCTTCTATCTCGCCCGCCCACTGCTCCCCTCAGCAGTGTACTTCATCCATCTGCCTGTTCTGCCCCCCATTCTGTCTCTGGTGAATCCTTTCACCCTCCATACCTCTGGCCTGTGCCCCAGCTCTTGTGTGCAGAAATAAATAAAAATAAATCTTTAAAAAAGCCAAGGAGGGCGAGAAAATAACAAAAATAATGAACAACCATATACCAGAGACATTTTGTGGGGGTGGAGTGGGGAATGGGATCAAAAACGGGGGTGGAGGGGAAGGGAGGGAAATGCACGGGACTATGGTGGTGGCACAGGGGTGATTTGGTGATGGGAAACCCGTGGGGATTACAATTGAGATGAAAAAAAAATGTGCAAAATAATGTAAAAATAAACTTTAAAAAAAAAAAAAGCCAAGGAGGCAATTACTACAAAAGCTTCAGTTATTCATCACTGAGAAACACCAGACTTTATTCATTAGCCTGATGAATGTTCGAGACAGGTTTCCTCATGAGCATGGCGGGGGGTTAGCATGGGCTGTTTTTGTGAAGTTGGTAGTGTGCCATGCCAGCCAGAGTATTTTTGACATTTCCCACCCTTGTTTGAACCATGTATGAGACCAGCGAGCCTTCTGCTTTCACCCCAGAGCAGGAGTTCTGGGTGAGCAGCCACTGCAGCTGCAGGCTAACTGTATAGGACCCCAAGATGTGGTCAAGTTCACCTCGAGTGAACCCTTTATGAAGGTGAGCGCAGAGCTCCTAGGACAGCTTCCTGGCACTTCATCGGACTCACGGAACAGGTTAGGGGGCTGTTTTTGTGCCTTCCTGCCCTTCATCCTCCCAGTGTGCCTGTTTCCGGCCGGTCCGGGCTGGCCAGGCTCAGCTCCCTCTCAGGGGCTTCACCTTCCGGCTCAGTCACTCCGGATGTGACTCGGCCCAAGCCAAATGAATCGTATTCAGGCTTCGGCTCTGCTGAGAACTGGAGGCAACGGCCTTCCCCAGACAACCTCCCTGCTGGGTCATGTTGCAAGAATTGGCGAAAGGAATTCCAACACACACACAGACACTTCATAAACAGCCAACGCGGGCAGTGGTCAAAATGAAACTAGCCAAGGGGTCCTCCAGCCTTTCTCTTAGGAACCTCAGGACAAGCAAGGGCGGGTAAGGGGAGGTGCCCCTTGAGAGCCAGCCACTGCGCGTTAGAACACCATCGGGGCGTAATCCCACCCTTGGGGGTAGGCAGTGAGCTCCTGCTCCTAACATCCCAGATGCAGAGATCTAGGGGGTGTCATCTCGCCCAAAATGTGGGCCAGCCCCTGTTGAAGCATCCTGAGGGAAATGTCCATTCATAGGAGACGGAGGCGCGGGCTCAGCACCGCTAGGGGGCGCGCCCTGGGCGACTCCAGGACAGATGGTCGCATCCTCAGCAAAAACTTGTGCAGGGGACGACAAGAACAAACTCCTCCCCTCCCCCCAAACTGAATAAAGGATGGAAAAAAGGGATTTATGACACATAGCGAGGGCCTCCCTGGTGGCTCTAGGGGTTAAATTTCAGCGCTATCGAGCTGTCACCAGCCGCTGCAGCACGAGTTCCATCCCCACCTGGGAGCTGAACAACATGGCGCATCGGACCTCTCCTGTCTCCCCGCTGCTCCCCCCAGCAGTGGATTCAGTAGCTCTGCCTGTTGTGCTCTCCACTCTCTCTCGGGTGAACCCTCTCACCCTTGCCCACACCTCTGGCCTATACACCCTAGATCTTGCATTCATAAATAAATAAATCTTAAATAAAAGGGGGGGCATATCAATCAATGGCAGCAAGCCTACCCTCTTGGTTCCTGATTCAAGTAAAATCTAAAATTTGATGGCATTTATGAGACCCTCGAAAAAGTAGGTATCAACCAGATAACTTTAAGGACATGATTCATTTCCTTGGCATGACAATGCTTTTCAGGTTATGACTGGGCAGCTTTTGTTTTTTAGAGGAATGTTTTGAAATGTTTACTGAAGAGATGATGTTTGGAATTTGCTTCAAAATTACCCCAGAAGGGTGGGGCGGGGTGTGAGGCTGAACCTGTCTGAGTTCACAGCTACTCGGAGAGCTGGGTGCTGGGGATGTGGGGTACACCCAACTATTCTACCTACTTTTATGTTTTGTATTTTCTAAAATAAACAATGCACTTCTCCAGAGCAGCATCATAGGGACATTCTTCTGGGTTTCTTCTTTTACTCAACATCCTGTTTCTAAAATTCAACCACATCAGCGCTGCAGTTCACCCAGTTATCTGGGTCACCTTCCCGTGAATGAATATAGAACTGCTGCTCATTTTGTTGACAACAGCTATTTGAATTGTCTGTGTTTTACTATCACAAGCCCAGCTGCTTTGGACATTTTTGCACGTGTCTCCTGGAACACAGGTACCTACATGTTTTTAGGTTAAACAGACCTGGGAGGGGAAGGGCTGAGTCATGGGGTAGGCATTTACTGAGCAATGCCCCCTAGCCTTCCAAAGTTCCACCACTCCATCAGCTCTTCTGTCGCCCCACCTCTCTGCCAACACTTGGCATTTGCAGACTTTCTGAATCTCCTGGATACAATGCTATTCACACAGCCTTCTTTTGCTGAGCTGAGCTTGTTTTCATATGCTTATTGGCCACTAATTCTGTTATAGTTTATTCATGTCTTTTGCCCACATTCTAGTGAGTCAACTGTTGTTTACTTAAACTATTTCTATATTCTGAATCCTAACCCCTTGAGAGGTAGCAACAGAATCAGTAAAGCAGCCCACAAGAGCCTGGGCAAAGCAGGCCACTTCTCTGTGACCTTCAGTTTCCTTACCTGTAAAATGGGGTCATTTACATCTTCTTGCAGAATGAATGCTTGGGTCTCCAGTGCTCCAAAAGAAAATCCATAGTTTGAAGCATGAATTCCCAGTATCTTTGTGAAATCGTTTTAGGTGAAACCATGAGTGGCGTCCCTGTGATGAGGTTAGTGCCTTTATAAGAGGAAGACACACCAGAGTTTTCTTTGTCCCCCTCACTCCACCTCCCACAATAGCAGGATACACAGAAAAAGCTGCCATCCATAAGCTTAGAAGTCAGCTCTCACCAGAACTTGGGGATGCTAGCACCCCAATCTCAGACTCCAGCACTTGAGAAATAGGCGCTTGCTGTTTAGGCCCTTCTCACCCCACTGCACCCCTCAGTCTGTGGTATTTAGCTATATAGCAGCTGTTGCTGAGACCCCTCCCTCAAGGTTCAGGTGAGGCCCAATCGTGACCCTATGTGTGAAGTACTAGAACAGGGCTGGTGGCCACCACAGGAAGCCCTTGGTGTCCAGCAAGCATTTGCTGTTTGGAGCGTAACAGACACCTGCTGCCCCCTGGCGTAGGGGTCTTTTGGCTCCCTGGATAGCATTTAAGGCAGGAACTTTGCTTTGATGGCTTGAGTTCAGCAACACTCGGCAGGGTGGAGACAGACCAAGCTGGTAACCTGTCCCTTACTCCACGACTGTGTGGGACCCCATACTTTGTGGGGGACTGATGTCCTAGACATTCGGGCTTGGTACCTGGTGGCAGAAATCATGCCAACTGAATTGGGAAGGGTTCCTTAGGCTGCTACTCTAACAGAATTATGGGGCCCCTTTCGTACATGCAAATTGAGGACTAGAAGCTTCTAGCCGTCTTGTCCTTCTCCACACCTCCTGATTTTGCTTCATTCTGCTTGTCCACATTCTCGGGCAGGGTCTCCTGACACTGTGGCCAAGAAAGAGACTGGCCACCCCGGAATCGCAGCACCCCAGCCTTGCGCCCCAGAGAAAGAGAAATCCCGCTCAAGTGTGGGGCGTGGCCAGAGGTTGCGACGCTCCTATTGGCTGATCCCAGTCAGACGCACCTGTCTGGAATTAGTGGGAGGAGCCACCCCTTCCGGAGCCCTGAGGGACCGTGGACTCCCAAAACACAATGGGGGGCGCTGATTCCAGAAAAAGAAGTAGGGAATACTGGACTCACAAAGCTCCAGTTACTTTGGGCTGGGAAGGGCCAGTGGGACCCTGGATATAAAAGGGGTGATGTGGGGCGTGACCATCAAGGGGACCGCTCCTGTGGGGATGTGTGGCCAGAGCTCCCCCACATGGAGGTCAGAGGGGCCTGCTGACCAGCGGCCTGAAGCCTCCGATACATGGCCACGTGACCTGTTCACCTCCCTGCCAGATGTCAATCAGTTTTTATTAAAAGTTCCCTCCCACTATTAGTGGTACTTTGGGGCAAATAAAGGGAGAGGGCTATGACCTCGCGGGGTGGGGATGTGGAGAACACAGTAGGGTGCAGGGGGTACCGGGGAAGACACAGAGGCCACAGGTGGCGGTGGGGGGACCTTGGGGCTGACCCTAACCTGCCTGTGTGGGCCTTTGAGCCTCCGCTGCCGGGACAGCAGACGCAGGCACGGAGGTCCAGCCACTGGCCCACGCACAGTTCCAAGGGACAAGGCCACCAGGCCCTCTGGCTCCCAACCTGGCACCTGTGGGTAAGTATTGTCACCTGCCTCACACTGCGGGGGAGGGGAGACAATTCTACAGGGAGAGAATCTGTTTGACAAGCCCCTTGTAGCGGCTGCAGGCCGGCTCGGACATTTATTGGCCCCCTCAAATGGAAAGGTGCCAGAGGGTGCTACAGTATCGAGGGGCGGCCAGGGCCCCCTCACCCGAGTGGAAGGCCCACCTGGGCGTGAGGGAGGAGTTTCAAGGACAAGAGATGGGCAGGACAGTGAGGCAGGCTGACGGGCACAAGACAGCTCCAAGATGCAGAGAGGAGAGGACACAGAGGCCGCCCCTCCCCCCGCTGACCTCCTTCTAGGCACTCCCACAGCAGCCTGGTGCTCCTGGCTCTGCCCACCTTTCCTCCTGCTGCTGGCCAAGCCCATTAAGGTGCTACTCTGGCCACAACTGAAGGCCCCACGCCCTGGGGAGGAAACCACTGAAGAGGCGTCCTGCTCCCCGGCACCCCAAACCATCAATTAGTATTAACGAGGGAAGGCTCCTGGCTGCCTAAAGACCCCCATCGGGACTCGGCTGGCCGGGAGGCCCCGCCCCCGTGACTCAGGAGGTTAAAGGGCCCGGGGCCACCCGCCAGCCCCGGAGTCCAGATGGCGTGTGGCAGCGGGAGGGTCATCATCCAGCTGGTGAACGAGGAGGCAGGGCCTGAAGCCAGGGGCCCGAAACTCTTTCGGGGCCAGAGCTACGAAGCAATCCGAGCAGCCTGCCTGAGTGAGGGGATCCTGTTCCGAGACCCCTACTTCCCCGCTGGTCCTGACGCCCTTGGCTATGACTTGCTGGGACCAGACTCAGAGAAGGCCAAAGGGGTGAAATGGATGAGGCCCCATGTAAAGTGGGGCTGGGGGCTGGGGGGCTGGGTCTGAGGGGTGCTGAGGGACTAGGTTTGTGGGAAGAGAGAGCTGGAGAGCAGGTTCCTAGGTCTGAGGAAGGAGGGGGGTGACGTGGGGGGGGCTGGGCTCTGGGTCTGAAGGAGGAAGGGGCTGAGGGCTGAGTCTGAGGGAGGAGGGCTGTGGTGAGGTGGGCTCTGAGCAGCTCAGCCATCCTGGGCCCAGGGAGGCCGGGGAGGCCAGGGAGCCCCAGGAAGCAAGCCTGCCCGCAGCTTTACAAGCCTTGTACGGTCGGAGGCGCTCATTACTGGGGGCAGCGTCTGACCTCCCAGCTCGCTCCTTTGCCCCCTTTCCTGGACTGAGGCCTGCGCTCCCCCGTCGCCCCCAGGAGTTTTGCACCGAGCCCCAGTTCATCTGTGAGGACATGAGCCGAACAGACGTGTGCCAGGGGAGACTGGGTGAGACTGCGACCCCCCCAGACTCCTCAGACCCAGCCGTCCTCGCAGCCCGGCCCCTCAGCTCCGCCCTCCACCTCCCCGCTTCCCTGCCCCTAGGCCCCCCCGCCCCCCATGTCTCTTCTTCCCTGTCTCAGTCTCCCTCTTTCCGTCCTTGCCCAACCCTAGCCTTTCCTCCCAGGTAACTGCTGGTTGCTTGCGGCCGCCGCCTCCCTCACTCTGTACCCCCGACTCCTGTACCGGGTGGTCCCCCCTGGACAGGGTTTCCAAGAAGGCTACGCAGGTGTCTTCCATTTCCAGGTAAAGCTCGAGTCCTTTGTTCATGCCTCGGTTTCCCCCACAGTGACCCAGATGTGTCTTGTCCTCGGGACATGCCATCCCTGGACTCTGGGACTGGCGCAGGTGCGGGGTCAGGGCAGGGTCAGGGCTGGAAGCTGAGCCCCAGCCCTGCCCCTCGCCTGGCCAGCTCTGGCAGTTTGGCCGCTGGATTGACGTCGTGGTGGACGACAGGCTGCCGGTGCGGGATGGGAAGCTGATGTTCGTGCGCTCGGAGCAGCGGAACGAGTTCTGGGCCCCGCTCCTAGAAAAGGCCTACGCCAAGTAAGGACCTGAGCCCCCGGCCAGCAGGCCCCAAGCCAAAGGTGACCGCGGGTCTCCTACAGACGCCTTGCCAAGGACCCCAGGCCAAGCCACAGCCCCCAGGACCCTAACGTCACCCCATCCCTCCCAATCATGAACAACGCCCCCATCCACATTCCTAGAGACACTCCCAGATGCCCAGAACTCTCCAGGAGACTGAAACCTCACACACCAGGCCCCGGAGTCACCAAAGCTAACATTATCTCCTTGGGACCCTATAATTGTAGTCAATTTCTCCTGACCCACAAGAAACCCAAAGCGCCCGCAGAGTCTTGGATGTAATCCCCAAGACCCTCCAAACTTTATCTTTCCTCTGGAGTCCCTGACAGAGCAAGGTTGCCCCCGAGAAGCCACCTCCTGAGAAGCACCGTTTCAGACACACCCAGGCTTCTCACACTGCCCTCCCCAGACCCTAGGTCATGGGCCCCGTCTCCAAGGGCTTGCAGAGAGTGCCATCGACCTCCACCTTCAGAGTCTGAAATTTCCAGGGGTGGTCCCTGGGACCCCAGAGACAGGGCCCTCACCCCACATCTCAGGGGTTGTCCGAGCTGCTTGCACACACCTCAGACCCTCCCGCCTGGCTGCTCTCCCTCAGGCTGCACGGCTCCTATGAAGTGATGCAAGGTGGCCACATGAACGAGGCCTTCGTGGACTTCACGGGGGGTGTGGGCGAGGTGCTCTACCTGAGGGGGCAAGACACCCCCGGCCTCTTCACCATCCTGCGCCATGCCCTACTCAAGGAGTCTCTTGTGGGTGCCACTGCACTGGTGAGAGTCAGACTCCCGTGGAGACCCCCACGGGAAAGCACAGCAGGGCTGAGGGGGCAGGGCCCTGTGTGCTCCTCCGCTCTCCTGTTGGCTTATGCTCTCACTAATCAAACCCCAGCAAGGAAAGAGGAAATTTACTTGCTGTCATAAATCACCAGCTTCAGGCACCGCTGGATCCAGGTGCTCAGAGGATGTTGCCAGTGGGTTTTTCTATTCCGGTTTAGCCTCACTCTCAGGCATACTTGCCCCTCATGGGCACAATAAGGCCCCCCCCAACTGCAGGTACCTCCCACCTAGGAGAGGCCAGCAAGGGGTGAGGGGCGAGGTGTGGTTAAAAAAAGACTCAGCTTGCATTGTATGTTCAACTGTGCTGCAGTCACACACTAACTCTGACTCAACTCAGTCAGACTGTCGTCTGCTTTCTGTCCGTATCTCACCTCGGCTCTCTCAACTCTGCCCTTTCTGTCTATTTTGTCCTATCTGCAGCTGCACCCTCTCCCTCACTCATCAGCCCGCTACCCTCCCTGAAGCCTGAACCTGGTGCTCTGCTTGACCCCTGCTTTGGTGCAGGAGACCCAGGGTGGGGGACAGAGGTGCAGCCCCCTTCGGGTGCCCCTCGGTGGCCTGCCACCCCTCTCTCTTCCACCCAGAGCGATCGGGGCGAGTACCGTACAGAAGAGGGGCTGGTGAAGGGACACGCGTACTCCGTCACGGGCACGCACAAGGTGGGCACCCTCTCGGGCGGCTGCGGGGGAGGGGCCGGGCTCCGTGCCCACTCACTGGCCGCCCTCAGTTGTTCCTGGGCTTTAGCAAGGTGCGGCTGCTGCGGCTGCGGAACCCATGGGGCCGAGTGGAGTGGAGCGGGCCCTGGAGCGACAGGTGAGATGGGTCTGGGGCGGGGGTGGGAGTGGGGCGGATCCGGCCCACCCCTCACACCCCAGTCTCCTCAGCTGCTCACGCTGGGACGCGCTCCCCACCGAGTGGCGGGAAGCTCTGCTGGTGAAAAAGGAGGACGGCGAGTTCTGGTGAGTGGGGTCCTGTCCACACCTGGGGGTGGGGGGGTGCCAGGTCGGGGTGAATCTGCATGAAGGGCCAGGGCAGAAGCTCATGGGGTGGGCCCCTCCAGGGAGAAACCACCCTGACAGGTGGTATCTGGGGGCCGTGTCCTGTTTGGGGCAGCTGAGGGAGAACCAATATTAGGGTGGGCTGGAGGGACAGTAACCCCCGGAGGGCGGGAGGAGGGAGGCTTGGTGACATCTGGGGGCATGTGGCAGTACCGAGAGCCTGGAGGGTCCTTGCTGGAAACTGAGGGCCTGGCATTTGCAGACTGAAGGCAGTTTGACACTGTTTGGGAGTCTGTGGAGCTGGACCCCTTTGGGGGCATTTCTGAGGACCCGAGGAACCTGGGCAGCCTGGAGGGCTCTGATGTGGGGGGTCATGCCTGGACACGTGGCATCACTGGAGGACTGGAGGGCTACTGGCAATACTCAAGGAACCGAGGGAGCGTTGTGATTTGGGGGCCCCTCCTGGGGCTTGAGCTTTTGGGAGATGGGGCGGGGCTGGGGCTGACCGCTGCCACTGTCCAGGATGGAGCTGCAGGACTTCCTCCGCCACTTCAACACCGTCCAGATCTGCTCGCTGAGCCCGGAAGTGCTGGGCCCCAGCCCGGCTGGAGGTGGCTGGCACATCCACACCTTTCAAGGCCGCTGGGTGCGCGGCTTCAACTCAGGCGGAAGCCAGCCTGGTGCCGGTGAGGCCTTGAGGGGTTCTGAGCGGCGAGCAAGGGGGGCTGAGGCAGTTCAGGTAACCCTAGTTCTTTCCCCAATACCAGAAACCTTCTGGATCAACCCCCAGTTCCGGCTGACCCTGCTGGAACCTGATGAGGAGGAGGATGAGGACGATGGGCCCTGGGGGCCACCTGGGGGAAGAGGGGGCCGCGTCCCCAAGTGCACGGTCCTCCTGTCACTCATCCAGCGGAACCGGCGCTGCCTGAGGGCCGAGGGCCTCACTTACCTCTCCGTGGGCTTCAACGTGTTCCAGGTGGGGCCCCCCCAACTCCCCGACCCGGTGGAACAGAGGCAGAGGAGGGGGGAAGTGGGGGGGGGGCGGGGGAGACTGAGGGTCTGTGATGGGCAGAGGGGTCAGACAGAAAGGAGTCAAAGAAAGGGGTGGGGAGCTGAGGGTGGGGGGGGTCAAGGAGCACTTGAGTTCATATAGGGGAGACATCAGGGAGGGGCTGGGGTGGGGTGCCGCAGGGAGGAAAAGCAGGGTGGCCTGGCTGCCTCCCTGACTCCCCTGCTCTTTCTCCCTGCAGATCCCAGAGGAGGTGGGTCTCGGATGGGACCAGCACCCACGGTCCCCGCATCCCTGAATCCACCCCAGGGGCTCCACATCCAGTACTGGGGGGCAGGGCGGCCCCGAGGCTCCGTTAGTGTGAGGGGCGGATCCGTGGGTTCGGGCCAGGGTTTGCAAGGGTGTGGTGGGCTGGCGGGTCGGGTAAGGGAAGTGGGGCGCCACGGTCACCCCGCCCCGCCCGCCGCAGCTGCTGGAGCTCTGGGACTCCCCGCGCAGCCGCGAGCTCTTGCCCAAGCTGCTGCGCGCCGACCGCTCGCCCTTCTGCGCCCGCCGCGACGTGACCCGGCGCTGCCGCCTGCCCCCGGGGCACTACCTGGTGGTGCCCAGCGCCACCCGCCCGGGCGACGAGGCCGACTTCACGCTGCGCATCTTCTCGGAGCGCAGCCACACCGCCGTGTGAGCCCTGCCCCCAGCGCAGCCCTGGGACCCCGGACCCGTAGGCCGGTTTGCCCCGCCGCCAGTGCCCCCAGGCCCCTGCACCCCTGCCGCTGGCAACCCCACACCCCCGGGAGTTACGATACTGCCTAGACATGCCCCCTTCACCCCCCTACCCCACTCCTCGGCAGAGGCCCCCGCCAGCTCCACAGCCCCAGCCCGGGGTGACCAGCCCCTCCCCCTCCATCTTGCAGGGAGATTGACGACGTGATCAGCGCTGACCTGCAGGCCCTTGTGGTGAGGGGCTACTGGGGTGGAAGAGGGGGAAGCACCAGAGGAGAGGACTCCCCCAGTTCAGGACTAAACTCCCCCCACCCCGCAGGCCCCCTACACCCCGTTGGAGCTGGGGTTGGAGCATCTGTTTCAGGAACTGGCAGGAGAGGTGAGCAAGGGGGAGCTGGGCTGAGTGTCCAGGCCCCTCTCTTCCTGGAGGTCTCATTTTCCTGTAGCTAACATGACCCCCAGCCCCCCATCACCTTAATTTCTCAAAATGCTGACAATTCTTGCCTGCCTCAGGGCCTTTGCTGCCTGAACTTGGGCCAGGACCACCTCTCTCCCTTCATAGCCTCCGTTTGGCTTTTAAGCATCCCGGAGCATCCTCTGAACCGCCCTCCCCCAGGCGGGTCACTCACTTGAGGGCTGGCCTCGGGGTCCTGCAGCCCAGTCGCTGCCTCCCCACCACAGCTGCCTGCTCTGGGGTCCGGGCCCTGTTCCTGCCCCCAGCACAGCCAGCATGCTGCTGGCGTGGGGCCCAGCGCTGTCTGTGAGCTGCCGGCCTCACCTCACCAAGGGCTCTGTCCTTGACCAGGAGGAGGAACTCAGTGCCTTTCAGCTCCATATCTTACTAAGCATTATCCTGGAGCCTGGTGAGTCGGGGGCCAGAGGGGACCCCACAGGGCACGTGCTAATCCACAAGGGTGCGGGACTCAGAGTTGGGAGCCTGAGCTCAGCCAGGCGGTGCTACCCACTCATGAGTCCGCCAGCAGGGTTCACGGCCACCCGGGGCCTCTCAGGGAAAGGCAGGGGGTGGCGCTCCCCGAGTTCAAATCCCGGCTCTGCTGGTTCCAGCAGAAACCTGGCTCTCTAAGCCCCTATAAGAGGGGGACCGCAGTCCCCCTCAACGGGGATGACAGCCAACATGCAGGAATTGGCGGGGTCTGGGTTTCTGGCTTCTCCCCCTGTAGCTAGGTCCCCCAACCGGACTCCCAGAGAAATCGGGCTCAGGACCTGTGAGCAGCTGCTGCAGTGTTTTGGGGTATGATGGCGCAAGCCTAGGTAGGAGGGTGGGGCACTGGGGACTCCCTTCTGGGGACCTTGAACCTAACCGGATGCCACACCCTCAGCATGGGCGAAGCCTGGCCCTGTACCACTTCCAGCAGCTCTGGGGCCACCTCCTGAAGTGGCAGGTGAGCTGTGGGCCGGTGCACCTTTGAGGGGGACAGTGCTCTGTGGGCTGGCCAGGCCTCGGGGGAGGAGGAACTGGACCCACCACGCGTGGGCGGATTTGGCTGGGGGCCCCCGAGTCGCTAGCGGCTCAGAGGTGGAGGGCGACGCTCTGGTCCAGGACTGCCCCATACCTCCCTCCAGGCCACATTTGACAAGTTCGACGAGGATGCCTCCGGAACCATGAACTCCTGTGAGCTGAGGCTGGCCCTGAATGCGGCAGGTGTGGACAGAGGTCCCGGGGGACCATGAGCCGCTGCCCCCCTTACTGCACCCTCTTGGAGCCCCTCCCGGGGCCCACTCTGCGTCCATCCATAGGCCCACACTGCAGCTTACAGTCCGCTCTTGACACGGGCTGAAGGGCCCACTGGAGACCCTCAGGAGGATGGGGGTGGGGAGGTGTGGGCTCGTGGTGGCGGATGGCTGAGGCCACCGTGGTGGAATGTCCTGGATCCCTGAACTACTGACTTACTCCTTGGGTTGCCCTGGCACATGAGTCCCTCCTCTGGAGCCTCTGTTACCCCCTGGAAGGTGGCCAACCCATGGGGTGGCTGGGAAGGCACCGGGGAAGGCAGCCCCAGTGCCCGTGCAGCGTGCCAGAAAGGCAGCCAAAGGCTTTGGCGGAGAGGCCTTTCCCAGGAGCGGGGGTGCCGCCCTGCTCCATCTGTGGGACCCCAGCAATGTTTTTCTTGGGCCCCTAAGCCAGTCGGGAAAGTCTGAGAACAACTTGCCCTGATTTGGAGGGGGCTGGGGGCAGACATGAAACTCCCAGACCCGCCCTCAGTCCCCTGGCTCTCCTTGCCACTGCCACAAGCAGGAGACCCCCAGGGAGATTAAAAGCCCAGACAGAGGAGACAGGGGCAGAGAGTGGCATTTGGGCAGAGACCTAGAAGGCCTTGGGGGGACTGGGAAGAGCCTTCCGCACAGGAAGCCGCCGTGCAAAGGCCCTGTGGTGGGAGTGTGTGCCCCGAGCAGGCTGGTGCGGCAGGAGCCGAGGGCACAGGGACCCGGCGACAGCAATGAGGACAGGCCTCTGGCGTGCTGAGGACAGGGGTCTGTGTGGACGAAGCCAAGCTGGGGGGCAGGGCTGGTCAGAGAGGAAAAGCTGGTGAGGCCTCCTGAGCGCTTGTGTGTTTGAAAATGCTTTAAAGCATGAGGAACTGGGAGAGGCAAGTCCTGGGGACTGGAGCTGACAGGGAGGGGGAGGTGCACTGTGACTGGGAGGGGACCAGGGATGCAAGCTCTGGAGCCCCAGGATCAGGGAGCAGTCTCAGGGCAGGGGGCTGGCAGGAGAAATAGGCTGCTCTGGCCCAGCTGACAGCACACAACTACCAGTCCAGGGACAGACTGAAGTGGTCAGCCCTGGGGGCTGAGAGGAGGTGCCCAGTGCTGGCTGCTGGGGGTATCCCAGAGGGCTTCCTGGAGGAGGAGTGAATGACAAGGAGGAAGGCTCTGGCAGAGGGCACATCTTGTGCAGAGGCGGCAAGACCCAAGGGAGGAGGGAGAGGTGTGAGGGGGTCTCAGGAGTCCTGGGGGCCCCAGACAGGACCCCGAGCTGACGGGAGTGGATGCAGGCGGCGCTTAAGTTTTCTCAGATGGGACACCCAGAGCCGGCAGCTGAGGGGCCCTGAGCCCCTTCCCGGGCCCTCCCACCCCCACTGGCTGGGGTTTCCTCAGGCCCCCGCACAGCAGCTCTGCACCCCCATCTAGACAACAGGCGATGGTCAGGGGAGTGGCCCGGGGGAGGCCCAGGACCCGGCTGAGGCCTGACCTGGAGGCCATAGGTGGCACCTCGGAGAAGCCGCAGTGTCTGGGCACCTGCTGTGTGTGTGTTGAGTGGAGGGACGCAGTGACCAGGGGCGGAGGCGGGCCGTGTGGGGCAGCGGAAGCCCGTGGTAACAGCCCCAGAACTGTCTGTCCGACACCCTGAGCCGGCTGTGACCTGAGCCGGACCCAGTTTCCGCTTTGATAGCCTAAGTGGAGAGAATCATCCCAGATGATTTCCGGCCACTGGAGGCCCTGACTGAAGTATCAAAGAGCTGCCTTCGAGTGGGCCTGCAGGAAGGATCTCTGTGGGACGGGAAGGGTGGACAGCCCTGGCCGGCGAGGTCCCGTGCTGGGGGCTCCGCAGGGAACACCGTGCCCCCATCTTCTGGGGTCGGGGCTGCCGCAGTGGCCACTTGACGGGTGGGAAAACTGAGTCCCCAGGAAGTGAAGGAGTGGCGGGGCGGGGGGAGGGCGGGGCGGCGCGTGGCTGGATCTGAGTGGTGGGGACAGGCCCGTGAGGCACCCAGCATCTTCCCTGGGGAGGCAGGGTTCAGGGGGGCGCGGCTCAGAGGCAGCCTCCCCCCAGGCTTCCACCTGAACAACCAGCTGACGCAGACGCTCACGAGCCGCTACCGGGACAGCCGCCTGCGCGTGGACTTCGAGCGCTTCGTGTCCTGCGCGGCCCAGCTCACCTGCGTCTTCCGTGAGTGCCGCTCCAGCACGGGGAGGGGGGCGGGGGGCGGCCCCCCACGCGGGGCCTGGGCGCGGCCCTCACTCTGCCCCTCCGCGCAGGCCACTTCAGCCAGCACCTGGACGGGGGCGAGGGGGTGGTCTGCCTGACACACAGCCAGGTGAGCCGGCCGGAGGGGCAGGCGGTGCGGGCAGGCGGCCGGGGCCTTCACCGCCGCCTCAAGCCCGTCTCCTCTCGCCCAGTGGATGGAGGTGGCCACCTTCTCCTAGGACCCCTGCCGGACCGGCTGCTGCCCGAGGCTGAGAGCTGCTGCGGCTCACCTTCCCCGCCCCGACTGGCCCCGGCTCACGCCTCGGGGCGGGGGTCTGAGCAAACCCGCCCTCCTTGAACCCCGCCTCTCCCTGCCTGGCGTGGGGGCCGGTGCTCTGGCCACGCCTCGGCGCGGGGTCCGGAGCCCACCTGCCTCGAGCGGCCTCTGGCCCCCCCACTCACCAGCTGGGCGACACTGGGCAATTCACCGCACCTGCTTTGCTCTCCTCACCTGTAAAGGGGGAAGGTCACAGCGCCTTGTTGCACAGGCTAGAGACAGTCCACGTCCGGCGCCCAGCTCCAGGCCTGGCCCAGAGGGTGCCCACGAACACACTTTCATTTCTGCACGCTTACGGGAGCGCCGTGCCCGGCCCTGCCTGGGAACAGGTGTTCTATCATCGCTCTGCTAGGCAGCAGAGATCAGACAGGACAGAGAAAAAGAGCGGACGCTTACGGAATCCTTAAAAATATGACATGTTTTATTATCCTTCGCCAGAAGGGCGGTTTATCCAGAAACCAAGAAAAAAATCAATCAGAATAAACTCAAAAAGGGGGTAGTGGGGGGAGGGGAGGAAAACCATCAACTAACATTAGGCAGCCAGGCCAGCAGCCCACCCCCCACACCTCAGAGGGCCCCGCAGACCCACACCCTACAACAGACGACAGCGCAACACGGGGGCGGGGCAATCAGCTATGTCTTCATTACGAGAGCAAGAGGCAGCGAAGATATGTTGCTAGGTGAATATATATTTATATAATAAATCCGTAAGTTAATAAAGTAAATAGTAATTCTCTGAAAGTTTTTAATTTTTTTTTTGGAGGTTTTTTTTATTTTTGCTTTTTTTTTTTTCTGGTCCCTAGAAAATAGGAGATATGCAAGTCCAGATGAAGCAAAGGGGGGCTGGCGTGGGCGGGTGGTGGGGGCTGTGCTGCAGAAGGGGGCAGAGCCGCGCCTCCTGCCGAGGGCGGGGCCAGGGCAGGCCGGGTCCTCTGTCCTGGCGGGTGGCGTGGCGCCCTCTGCTGGGAACCCCCTTCCTGGACAAGGCACGTAGGGCTTGGCCTGGATATGGGAGGCCGCGTAGGCCCTCAGGGGCAGAGGAAGGGAAGGAGGGGCGGGAGGACCTGTCCTGTTGGGTGGGCACTACTGCCCTTTCCACACAGCTGACAGAAACAACACATCATACATGTTTAGCAGACCAGAGTGCTGACCAGGCGGAGACCCTCGCCCCACTCTGGGGCGTCCAGAAGCTCCTAGCCAGCCACCGAGGAGAGGAGAGCCTGCCCCAGCCCCTCCCTGCCCACCCCCCACCCCACAAGGACTTTGCATAGATACAGAGTCGGTCGGACCGGGGAGGTCCCCAGAGGGGAGGGGCCGAGGGCTTCCTAGCCCCACCAGGAGGCTGAGGAAGGGCGTCGCTCAGGTGCTTCCGGCGGGGCCTCACAGGTCACTCTCGCCGTACAGGGCCGTGGAGAAGGACTTGTAGTCGAGGGCGCCGGGCATGGCGTCGGGGCCCTGGTAGGGCGCCATGCGGGCGATGCAGTACTCGGCCTGGTCGGGCGGCAGCTCCCTCCGCAGCTCCTCGGCTGTGATGAAGTTCTGGGGGCGGCAGGGCAGGACTCTGGCCACGGCCCCACGCGCCCGCCCCCCAGGGCGCGCCCCGGCCCAGCCCCAGCACCCCCGTGGCGCCTGGCTCACCTTGTCCCCTGCCAGGACCTTGAAGGAGGCGATGACCTGGTCGGCCGTGTCTGTGTCGGTGGTCTCCCTGGACATGAAGTCAATGAAGGCTTGGAAGGTCACCAGCCCGCTGTGGTTGGGGTCAACCACGCTCATGATGCGGCTGAACTCGGCTTCTCCCTGCGAGGCAGGAGCGGGGCGGGGAGTGCGTTGGAGCGGGGCCAGGGCAGCCGGGCCTGCTCTCTGGGAGGACCGAGCCGGGAGAGCAGGCCTGCCCTCGGGTCTCCGCTCCCTGGCCAGCCGCCCCACATGCTCCCCCCACGTTTTCGGGAAGTGGGGAATTGGGGTATGTGTCCACCAGGTCTACTGCTCCTCAGCCCAAGGCTCACAAGCTAGCCCTGGAGGATGGCTAAGAAAGAGAGAAAGAAAGAGAGAAAAGCGGGGGGAGCCAGAGGGCTGACCCCCTCTCTCTGGAGGCTTCCAGGAAAAGCGGGAGGCTCAGGGAGTCATCGGAGGGACCCCGGGCCAGCAGCGCAGCAGAGGGGGGGTGCGGCTGCTCCGGCGGGCGGGCGGCGGGGGAGTCCTCCGAGGACAGGACTGGAGGCTGGAGGGGGGGGCGGGGAGGTGGCGCGGGGAGGGGCAGAGCGCAGCGGGGGAGGAGGTGCGGCCGCATACCAGGCTGTATCCTGTGGAGATAAGCAGAGCCCTGAAGTCATCGGAGTCCATGCTGCCTGTCTGCTTCTGCTCGAGGACGCAGGGACAGCAGGAGGCCAGGCCCAGAGTAGGCAAGAGGGGCCGCCCCATGTGCACAGCGGGGAGACAGGACAGTGGTGGGAGCGGCCGAGAGACCAGGTAAGGGAAGTGTCCGAGAGACAGGGCAGGAGGCAAGAGCGCCGGGAAATGGCACACACGATGGCGAGGGGTGGAATGGCGAGCGGGAGGGACAGAAAGAGAGAAGGAGAGAGAAGAGCAGTTAATGCCACAGTTCACTGGGGCCCAGGGCGCGTACCTGCCGGTCATTCTCCACGTCGTAGCCCAGGCTGATGAGGCAGGCCTTGAACTCTTCTGGCCCAAGCGCCCCGCCGTGGTCCTGCCAGGCCGTCCGGAGGCAGGTGTGTGGGAGGGACGGTGTGGAAACCCGGTGGGTGCAGGTTGGGAGAGGGGCCCAGGTCACATGCAGAGGGCGGGGGCAGCGGGACACACGGGGGAGGGAAACACAGCGTTAGAGGCGACGAGAGGACAGGCAGGGGCCGGGGGCAGGGGAGGGGACGGTCAGGCTGCGGCCTCCGAGAGGCCTGCAGGGCGGGCAGAGGCCCCCACTGCCTCCTCTGGGACGGAGCGGGGCTGGAGCTCAGCGACGTCACGCTAAGGACTGAGTCCCAGGGCTGGACGTGGGGATGGAGGAGGTCTCCCCTCCAGGATTCGGGGTAGGTGGAGAACACACCCCATCTTGCGGGCTTCCTGGGATGTCACGGTCCCTGCGTAAGCGCGGCGCTGAGGCTGCCGGTTCAACTCACAGCAGCCAGGCAGCAGACACGCCAGGCCCAGAGGGTGGGCGAACTAGGGGCTGCCGCTGCAAGCCTGAGCTAAGGCCATGCGTGGGGGGGAGGGTGTGCCAGCGTCACCAGCCAGGTCCCCGATCTCAGCCAGCAGGACCGAGCCCGACCCAGGCCTCACTGGCAGGCTGTCGGCCCTCGAGGTAGGGCCCGGGAGCCCTTTCTCCTGCGGGGAGCTGTGGTCAAGGTGCTGCACCTCTGTACCCCCTTCGGTAACTGAGTCCCTGCTGGTGGCAGACGTTCAGCAACTGCGTTGTGAACACACCACAGACGTGGAGACGGAGGGCAGGACAGGAGGGCAGGGAGGGACGACACGGGCGGGGGCCCTGGCGGCGGCCAGGAGCGCTCACCTTGTCGAAGTGGTTGAAGGAGGCCCGGAACTCCTGCATCTGCTCCTGGCTGATTCCTTTGGCATCGCGGGTGAGGATCTGGTTCTCCACCTCGTTGATGGTGCGGGCGATGGTGGTGAGCAGCTGCTCCCAGCCCACGCGGATGTGCTGGGGGAGGGCGGGTAGCGGGTATGAGGCCCTGCGCCCACTGTGGGGGTGTGCAGCTGGCTTCTCACAAAAATGCAGAGGGGGCCAGGGGACCTCGTCAGGCACCCCAGCGTTCCCATGCTCTCTGCTGCCCCCACCCCCCGGCAGGGCCCATGCCGTCAGGCTGTGTCCCCCCCGAAGGCCTGGACAGGCCAGGCCCTGAGGCCTGTGCCAACAGCTGGCAACTTTTGCTGGGTGTGTTTAACCACTGACTTTCTGGGGGGCTGGGGAGTGTGTGAGCGATCCGTGGACGAGCATGCTGCTAACACTGTCACCACACACAACGCCAGGCCATCAGTTGCCGGCCCCTGGCCTTACACTGCCTCGGCCCCAGTGGGCGGTGGGCATCACCATGGTGACGGGACAGCAGAGGTAGGAAACCGATTTTCACAAACGTCAACATCCGGCGTGGTCTCTGGCCCCGGGGGGGAGACAGCGCGCAGCAGGCACCGCCCAGGCACGGGCCGCACCTCCATGGTGTAGTTGGTGTGCTTGTTGTCGAAGATGAGGGCTTCCTGGATGAGCTGGTGCTGCTGCTCCAGCAGGTCCAGGTTTGGCTTGTAGTCCACGATGCTCAGCTCGTACTGCTTCAGGTGGCTCAGCTGGTCCTCCAGGGTCCCGTTCATCTCGATGGAGATGCGCCCAATCTCCTGCACAGAGGGGCTGCTGGGGGCTGGCGGCTCACCGTGGCGACCTGCCACCCCAGTGCCGGGGCCCCCCATCCTGGGCCTTTAGCCAGGGTCCCCCCCGGAGGCTGCCGAGGCCAACCGTGCCCTCTGGTCTTGCCCAGGAGTGTACAGGCGGCCCCATGGAGCGCCCCGCAAACGCCTGACACGCCTACCCCTGCCCATGTGGGGCTCCTGGGGCCGGGGCTGGAGAGCTGTCAGCAGACAGGACCCTAAGAGGGCACCCCACCACTGGAAGAGCTCTGGGCCCAGGCCTGGCTAATTTCAGAATTGGGGTTCCTGAGCATCAGCACCCCGCTCTGGCTCCCACTCTGCACAGATGGTGCTGAGGTGTGGAGGCTGGAAGCCCACGCATGCCAGGCTTGACGGGAGTTTAAGAAGGCTGCCTTCTGCTCGCGTAGTGAGGGCCAGAGCTGCGGTGGGCACCATGACAGGCCGCCCTGGGGCTGGGCGCCCTGGTCAGAGCCCGGGCCACCTACGCCACAGCCATGGCCGGTGGGTGCTCCCCTCGCGCCAGTCGTCGCCCGTAAAAGCACCTGCTGAGGGCTCTCACCTCAAGGCACGCAGGCGCAGGAGCAGAGGTGAGGTGAGGTGAGCCAAGCCCACCCTCAGCCGGGGCTGGAAGCCACACCCCCCGACAAGCGCTCGCCTCAGCTCTGCCACCCCCGCCTCCAGCACCTTGTTGGCACTCTGCACCCCTGCAGGCCTGGGGGCTCCCAGCGGGGGAGCGCCAGGGCTCTTTCACACTGTCCCCCGAGAGGGCGTGCCGGCCGCCTCACCTCCATCTTCGTCTGGATCCAGGGCCCCACGATGTTGGCCTGGCTGGCGAACTGGCGGCGGAGGTGCTCGTTGGACTGCTGCTTGCTCTGCTCCTCCAGGAGGGCGTGGTCCCGCTTTGGCACCAGCTGCTGCACCTGGGGCGAGGGTCCAGCGGCGGTCAGGGAGGGGCCCCGGCTGGCCAGCCCGCCCCGCCCCAGCCCTGCCGACGGCCCAGCCCACCTTCTCCCACTTGGAGTTGATGATCTGGGGGGTGACAGTAGTGTAGGGGTTGCTGCCCAGCAATTTGATGTGGTTGCTCTCGGCGATCCTCTGGGCCTCCTTGTGGATGGCCAGGATCGCCTCCCGCTCCCTGTCAGCGTCCGGCAGTGTCGACTTGAACTGGTCGTGAGCTGAGATCAAGCCCTGGGGGAGGAGGAGGAGTGAGGGGCAGCCCGGCCGCACGGTGGGGCCGCGAGGAGGGCAGGTGGGAGCGGACCTCGATCTCCTCGATGGTGTGGACGATGAACATGTCCTGGAGGTCCTCCATGGCACTCTCCATCCAGTTGTTGAAGGGGGCTGCTCGCTTGGCATATTCCAGATGCAGCTGGTCGATGGTCTCCAGCTGCTTCTCCGTTTTCTGGGGTGTGGGAGGCACAGGGACAAAGGCGGGAGGTCAGCCGGAGAGCAGGAGGGGGAGTCTGGGCCCAGGGCTCAGTCCTGAGGGTGGCATCGCCCTCACCTCCAGGGCTTCCCTGCGACTGTGGGTCAGGGAGCCCAGGGCGTCCCACTGGTCGCAGATCTTCTGGCACCGCGTGTTGACGCTGTGGGAGTCGTAGTAATCCAGCTCGCTGTGGGCAAAACAGGCCATGAGACCCAGGCGGCCATCACCCCCAAGCCCAGGCCCGATGTCAGGAGAACCAACATTTATGGACACTGGTATGCAAACCTTCCCTGGGGCCGGGGCACCCCAGGGCAGAAGGATCCGGGGAGGGCTAACTGAGGGCACGGTGTCCTCCTGCTCATTCACCTTATAACCTGCTCTGCTTCTGTGACTCTGGGGCCCAGAGTGCAGCCTTCAAGCGTGCCTGTGACCGGCTTGCCCCATGCCAAGACAGCGTGGCAGAGGGCACTGGGTAAAAGATTGGGCTCTGGAGCCCCGTTTCCCACGAATGGACTCCTGCTCCGTGATTCTGTACCTGTGTGACTCTGACTGAGCGAATTCTGCGCTGGACACCTCAGTTTCCCTGTCTGAGCATGGGGTGGGTCACTGTGAAGATCAATCACTTAATGCCCATGAAACACTGAGAATCCAACCCGGCACCCAGTAAGTAATATGGCAACAGGTGTTTATGAAAAGCTGCAGATTTACTTGCTACCTCACCTCATCAACTCACATCTCACTCCAAACAAGTATATCCATAATGCACGTAGGTGTTTTTGCTTGCAACAGTGCACGGACCAGGACACAGACATTATTCAGATGACGCGGGTTTACGCCACCGGGCCGCCCGCACACTCCATTCTGCCAGCCCCGCAACCTCATCAGCCCCAGGATCCCCAGCCCGGGGTTTGGCCACTCGGGTGGCAGTAAATAGGCAGAAGTCCGGGGTGGGTAAGAGGAGAGAAGGGAACAGCTTCGGGGAGGCGGGGACTGGCGAGGAAGCAAGGCTGCGCTCTGCAAAGGGCCGCTGGGCTGCACGCCGCCTCCCTTCCCGCGCCGTGGGCACTCGGGAGGCCTCCTGGCCTCTGGCCTCAGTTCCTCCCGGGGAAGGTGAATTGCTGGGCGCTGAAAGAGCCAGGTGGATTTCCCGGCCACCATTAACGGACACTCGGGAATGGACAGCACCCAAACAGTCCCTCTTTCTCCCCTCCGGGGCCACTGTCCAGAAAGCTACTTGAGAGTCCTGTTCTCTGGTCAGGGTAATGGGTTTCACATGGCTATTCCCTGGGGCCTGAGAAACAGGCTGGACTAGGACTTATTCCAAGTCTGCTTCCCACCAGCTTCCGCGGGGCTCCCTTGCCAACTGGGGCACCCGCTCATGTCCCAGCCCCCCAACCACCCCTTTAGGCATCTGCATCAGGTCGCCGCGACCTGGATGTGCCAGGTGTGGGGGCTCGAGCCCAGGAGAGGACCCAATAGGACACTGGTTCCGGCACTGGGAAGTAGAACTTCTGCCGCCGGCTAAGCAAACGGGGAAGCCCAGAGCCAGCGGACGACGTGGAGGGAGGGAGCCAGGGGCATGGGGGCGGGGGGAGCTGGCGCTGCCCAGCACGGGGCTGCACCGCATCCGAGCTGGGCCCAGGCACAAGGGAACAGGCAGAAGTCGGGAGGGCTGCCGTGGGGCGGAGTGACTGGAGGCCGCTGCAGCAGGGCTCCCTTCTGGAGGACGGCTATTTTGGGCGGCCCTTGCCCCTCCGGGCCCTGAGGGTTTTCCATGAAGTAATCGCCTGGGCCTCCCACCCCGGCCGCCTGGTCGCGGGCTGCTGTGCAGATGGAATAAGGAGCCATTCACTGGCGCTGGAAGCTGAGTGCACTAATTGTGTGCGCGAGTTTATCTGACTGGGGCGGGGAAGGGCGGGCAAAGAACCCGCTCTTACAATAGGCGTATTCTGAGCAGCACAGGGAAGGGGCTGGGCGGAACAAGGGGTTCACTGTGCAGCCCGACTGGAAGGTGGAGGCAGGCCGCCCGCTCCATCAGGCCAGGAGCCTCTTGATGTAGCAGGTGGGGTCCCAGAGACCCCCTTAAAGCTTGAGTAATCAGGGCAAGGGATCAGACACCTCACTCTTGCCAGAAACGTTAGACTCTTCTGTTTCTTTTGGGGTGGGGGGGAGGGAAGAGGGTGTTAAGACAAAATAGGCCAAAAGCACCACCCTCTATGGCCTTCTGCCCTGGCATCTCACAGGAGAGCATGGAAGGGCTGGGAGACCCCACTCTGGGCCCTAAGGCTCCTTGGGACGCCACTGCCCCGACTCTGGGCTGGGCCCCTGGCGCCCGGTGACCCGCACATACTTGAGCTCCTGGGCAATGGCGGCGATCTGCTCCACACGGTCCTGGTGCGCTGCCAGGTCGCTCTCGAAGGCCTCGTGCTTGCGGATCAGGGCCTTGATGTCCGACAGGGTGGCCGTCTCGTAATCCCGCTGCTTCAGCATGGCTTCCTTCCCTGGGGGCAGGGGTGCCGGGAGGCGCTTAGACAGCAGCACAGTGGGAGCCCAGGCAGGGGGAGAGGTGCAGACCCCACATGCTGCCTTGTGAGGAGGGTGCAGTGAAGGCTGGAAACTTCCAGAACTTTGCTCCTTGTCCTCCAGGGATCTCTAAACCCCACTGCGTCCGGGATGGCGCTGGGAGGCAATACCCCACCGAGCCCGTGTCCCCTTCACTAGCAGGACGCCGTACGAAGCAGTCTGTGCGGCCCCGGTTGGGGAGGCCGACACCCATCTGCAGGGGACCGGAGAGGCCGCCGGCCGCAGGCCAGGCCACAGCAGGTTGGGGGGCTCCGGAAGCACAGCCTGCACTTGCCCCCAGCACTCTGGGGCCAGGCTCTTGGGGTGTGGGCTCCCACGGCACTTCTGCATGCTCCACGCTATCCTAAGGGCTTCTGACACGCAGCGAGGTGGGGCCCACGGTCAGGCCCTTTGAAGGAGGGGAGGGAGGAGCACTGTTATTAGTCCTGAGCCCGGCTAATTACACACTCCAGGGCAGAAGCTCCGCCAGGCCTGCAAGCAGGCTACGGTGCTGCAGAGGGCAGAAGGCAAACGCCAGCCCGGCGGGTGGTGGGGACCCCTGCGTCCTGACGGTGGATTTGCCCGCTTAGGAAAGCCGTGCTCCACACAGTCGGCCCCTTGAGCGGCAGCTCAGAAACCATCCCTCCACGCCTCTGCTGGGCGCTGGGGATCTGCCCCCCAGTGCAGTGACTTGGAGCGGCGGGATGTGGGACCACACGCGTCGCTCCTTGCTGCTCCCTCACCTGAAGGTCTCAGGGAGGGGCTGCTGGAGGAGGGTGGGCGCAGGGCCATTGCCACCCTCACCTCGGCCGCACCCCCAGGACAGGCATTGGCAGGCAGGTGGCGGCGGCCTGGAAGACTGACTCCTCGGCCCTGCACCCCAACCCTGGGGCAGGAGGCTTAACCACAAAGGCTAGCTTGCAATTTCCTCCTCCAAATTGCTTTCTCCCAAGGGTGGGAACCAGAAATAGTAGGTTACCACTTCTCTGCCTCAGCAGAGTTTCAGCAAGGAAGCTGGCAGGGAGGAGGCCCTGGCTCTGGTGGCCCTGGACTCAGGCCCACGAGACCTGCTTTGATTCCTCCTCGGACAATCCACAACCTCCACGTGGACCCTCACCCCTGAGGTGGTGGGAGGAGTGGTGGCGCCCCACCGCGCTCTGCCCCACGCCCCGTGAGGAGCTGCCTGGCCGGCTCGCGGCCGCGGGGTGGTCCAGCCTCCACGTCTGTGTAGCTAGATGGCACAGAGAGGGGCTACAGGTCTGGGAAGGAATGGGCAGGCTGCCTGGGCCTCTGGGCTGAAGGGAGGGGCAAGACCAGGTGCCAAAGTACCTGAAGGAAGTTGGGTGGGGCCATGTGGACACTGCTGAACCAGGCAGGCCCTGGCCAGGGGCTGGGGGCCAACTCCCCCTCACCACCAAGGAGAAGGTTGGCTTGGAGTGGTTCTCAGGGGAGGGGCCCCAGGGGCCCTCACACCCACTTTGACCTCAAACCATCTTCCCAGGCCTTCTAGCACCCTGGTGAGATCCCAGGGGCCGGTAACATGGGGGAGAGGCCCCAGAGGGCAGCGCGGCAGGGGTGATGCAGAACCTGTGAAGGACAGCAGAGACAGCCCGTGAACGAGGGCATGTGAGACAGCTCGGGCCTGTGTGGGCCACGTGGGTGAGTAGGTCCATGTACATGCCAGGGGCCTCTGGCAAGGAAGTGCCAGAAACTGCTGGGCTGCGTCCAGCAGGCCCCACCCGCCTGGGAAACACTGTGCACGGGACGAGGCCGGGAGGTGTCTGTAGAACGAGGGGACGAACACTGAGCGCCTACTCCTCTCCTGTACCCCACTGCCAAGATGGCACCCCAGGCAGCAGCCTCTCCCCCAGGGTTAGGAGGTAGAGCCCCCACAGGCGCCATTTGCGCGAGCCTCAAGAAGGGGCCCCGCAGCCCTGGCCTCACGCCCCTCCCCTGCCGCATTCTTTCCTTGGCAGAGAAGGGGCCGGGGCCGGGCACCGCTCGGGGCCTGGCAGCTGTTGCTGGAGAGCAGCTGGCCGGAGCTAACGTGAGGACAGCATCCGCGGGGCCGCAGCCAGGGACACGAGTGACGTGGGCCCGGGTTGGCGGATACGCGGAGCTCCGTGTTCAAATGCTGGCAGGGGAGGGATGGCGACCTCTGGGTGGTCTCGGCATCCAGACCGCCTGGGGCTGCTGCCCAGCCGGGCAGGCGGGACCTGGAGGGCCCCCTAGAGGCGTCGCGAGCATCCCACGGGGTGCATGGGGGTGGGGGACAAAGAGCCACACAGGGACGTGTGAAGTCAGTTGGGCAGGCAGCAGTGGAGGTAGCAGAAGTGGGGGGGCGGGGGTGCCATGGATGGCTCTTGGTTTTCCCAGGCACTGGCAGTTTCTGGAAAGCTTTCAGGCCTCCGAGATGTGGAATCTCAACCATGGTAAGGATCCCGACCGTGGGCCAGGAACGTGATGGAATCCCACATCCTGGGCCAAGGGAACGGGCAGCTGCAGAGCTGCCCAGAAACAGGGGCACCACTGCCTGCTGGGTCAGGCCGTCCTGCGGGGGGCCAGGCCTCTTGGAAGGAGGCGCTGGGCTGGAAGGTGGGAGAGTTCCCAGGGTGGCCACACTGAAGGGCGCCAGCTGGCGGTCAGGCGGCGGGGCCAGGAGGTGGCTCCCGGGTCTGGCCTGTGGGCACATGTGCTCACTGCGGGCGTGGGAGTCACTGCGGGGGTGGGAGGGACGCAGACAGGCTGAGCACAGGCTGCCAGGGCAGGGAGAACGTGCCCCCCGTCAGCCCGGGCCGGGGCAGGACAGGGTCACTCCCAAGGAGCTGGGAGAGGGCTCAGCGTATCCCACGACTGGCCTCTGACGATCGGGAGGAGGCCCACCCACAAGTAATTCTGAGGTCAGAGCAGCTTGGACAATCAGAAGGACCCACCCCACCACAACTGTTCTTTGCAGCCTGGAACCCAGCGAACCCCAGGCTCTGACTCACATGACTGCAAGCAGCGGGAGAGGAATGACAAGCAAGGCAGGAGGGACTGTGTGTGCTGTGCGTGTGCGTACGTGTGCGTGTGTGAGGGGGACCTGGACCAAACGGGGGAGCAGGCACCGGAGCCGTACCGTCCGTCCAGGCCTCGTGGATGGAGGCCTTCTGCCGGAACTTCTCCGCCAGGTGGTCGAGCCGCTCCAGCCTGCGGATCTCGTTCAGCAGCCACTCCTCGTAGCCCTTCTCGGCCTGCTCCAGGTGCTGCCAGCAGTTGTTGATGTCCTGCGGCAGAGGGGGTCACGGGGTGCCGATGGGAAGGCCGCGGCAGTGGCCGGGGCCGTGTGACTCCCGACTGCCGCCTCGAGTGCAGACAAGGCCGGCAGCGGCCAGGGCCGCCAGCTCCTCAGGAGCGGGCGCATGGAGGCCGTGATGGGGCCCCAGGAGCCAGAAAGGGGCTGTCCCGGGCACATCGTTCCGCCCTGAGAACCTCAAAGCATTTAATGGTCCTGGAGCCAGGGTGACGGGAGCTCAAATTCAAGCAGATCCACATAAACGGTGGTTTGGTTTGGGGATGAGTGTAGGAGCCCTGTGGGTGGTGGGGCCTGTGGGCAGCATATTCCCACCTCAGCCCCTCCCGCCCTGGCTGTGCACTTAGGAAGCACCACACTGGCCAGCAGTGAGCCCTGGGAGCAGGAGCGTCCTCTGCTCTCAGGGCCAACTGGGGCCCAGGAGGGCGGCGGGGAGCCGGTCACTCACCGAGACCATCCTGCCCTCGGAGGGCATGAAGGCCGGCCGGTTGCTGAGGCGCAGCTTGGTCTGCAGCGTGTTGAAGTTGATCTCCAGCTGGCACTTCTCCTGCACCTTGGGCGGCTTGTGCACGCGCCGGTAGTCCCGGAAGTCCTCCAGCTTCTGCTGCATCTCCTGGATGGTCTTCTGGGGGACGCGGTCCTCCAGCCAGGGGATGGTGCGCCGGATCCACTCCAGGAGCTATGAGCCCACAAGAAGCCGGGTGAGAGGCCCAAGGGGAGCCCGCGCCCCATGAACACAGCGCTGCCCTCTGGCTGTGTCCTGCCTGCCTTACGGTCAGCTCTCTCCTCCGGGAGGCCCCCATCACACTCCACCCCGGGCCCCGCTGTCGTCCTCACCGAGGCCAGCACTGACTCCCTGCTTGCTGCCTGGGAGAGCCCCGGGCAGGGTCCACCACCAGCCCGGCGCACTCTGGGGCGGGCGGTGGCTAGGGCCCAGGACATAAGTGACCCAAAAGTCCAAGTGACAGCACGGCAAGGTTTCGCGAGCTGCGCCGGCTCTGGGGCGCAAGGGCGGGGCGTAAGCACGCTCGCGGGGCAGCCCGCGGCCGAGCGCAGCGCCCTGAGCGCAGCCTCGGCGAGCGTCCGGCACGGATGAGCTCGCAGCCGGGGCCGGCGAGGGCCGACCTCGGGCAAAGCGAGCAGCCCGGCACGAGTGTGCTCCTCTTGCAGCACAGCGCCCGCCGCCCTTTTGGTGTGGGGGAGGCAGCAATTCTTAGACTGTTCTAACTTTTTCCTGGTGTCAGAAATGATGGTGACAAGAGGCAGAGTAGCTTCTTTTTAAAAATATCCTTCAGTTGGGAAAGTGTAAAGCTGGCACCACAGGCTGGCTGTCGTATACTCTTGCACGTTTTCCTGCTCTTGGTATCTCAAAGACCGGGGGGCAGTGGTGTGGGGTAACAGTCCAACTACTGCTCTTGGGAGCGCCAATGCTTTCATTTTTTTTTAAAGAAGAGACTCCAGAAGAGAAGCATGAACACCCACATTCCCAACTAGCCTTGGGGTTCAGGCTCTGGATCAGGGTCTGTCTGTCCCTGCCCAGATAGCAGAGCTGCTCCAGGTCTGTTTCCTTGCTTGGAAAAGAGGGCAGTGAGCCCTCCTCACCGGGCTGCTGTGGGGACAGCAGAGCTGGCTCCCTGAAGAGCTGCCCAGGGCCTGGCGTGACAAGCTGCGTCCTGTCCCCTCTTTGAAGGTTCTCGACCAACCCAAAAGGTCGAACTGGCTGTCAAATCCAGTCTGCAGTACCCGTCTCGAGAAAGGCTGACTGCCGCACCTGCTCCCCTTTTGCAAGTGCAAACCCTGACCAAGGTAACGAGGCGACCAGACCCAGCTCTGGTGGCCGTGGGGCCGGGCGGCAGCACACTCACATCACTGGCCAGCTTCTCGTAATCTTCCATCAGGTGCTCGTTCTCCTGATTGACAGCCAGCACCTTGCAGATCCGGTTGGCCGCAGTCTCCGCCTGGGTCAGGGAAGCACATGGGTCAGGGCCGCCTGGGGGCTGGTGACCCTCCTGCCTGAGACAGGCCTATCCCTTGAAAGCTGGCTCATCCAAGGCCCACACGAACTCCAGGAGGAGGAAAGCAGAGGAAGTGCAGCTGCAGCAAGATGGCGCCCCGAGTGGCTGGGCCCTGACAGGCCTGGCGGCCTCCCCACCACCCCTGGAAACTCTGCTGGTCTGACCGCTGGGTGTCAGGGAGCCCTCCCATGGGGGGGAAGTGGGCTAACAGGTTCTCCAGTGGCCCACAAAGAGGAGGAGGGGCTGGGGGGGACTCCTTGGAGGAAAGCTCCCTTGGGCGGGAGGCCAAGAGCTGTGGGTGCAGGCAAGGTAGGGGTGATGGGCCCCCAGAATGGCCTGGTGGTCTGTATAGGCAGGCAGGCCTGACCCCTCTCGGTCCTCCCCGCAGAGGTAGAGGCTAGCAGCTTACTGGGGAGAAACTGGGGTCTGTGGAGCAAAAAGGAGCCAAAGTTTCTGAGAGTCGGGAGCGGTGGGGACAGTGACTAGCCTGCCGCAGACTCCCAGTGTCCTGCCTTGTCCTGTCAGGGGAGAGGCGTGGAGCAGAGGCAGAGGGTGGGATGCCACACGGGGAGAAGAGACCAGATACCTTTCAGGAAGCACAAAAAGGGTCCAAGAGGAGTTGAAACGGCAACAGAACAGGAACAGAAATAGTGAGGAGGGTCTACAGAGTGGTGGGGAAGGAAAACAGAAGCTTGGGGATGGTTCCAGACTCGGCTAGTTACAGGCACTGACACCCAGCCTCTCCCATCCACACGCTGCTCGGCTCAGGCGGGCAGGTGCGGAGGGGCCAGCAGAGGCCTGCATGTGCGCAGGTATGACACACACACACACACACACACACACACACACACACACACACACACACACACA